CAAATTTCACCCTGGGTGACAACCACTTTGTCATAGAGACATAGCCCATTTAATGGCCAAGGAAGAGATATGAATAAATCTCCAACAGTCATATACAGTTGCTCGTACTTTGCACTTTCTGAGTCAAAAATCCTCTAGTTAGAGGTTGGGATGGATAATTGTCTGGATATGTCTGCTTCTGGAAGCCTGTGAGAGGTCTCCTCTCATGCCAGAGTGCCACATTACCCAAATACCAGAAGCCAAAACAAAGTCATGAGAATTATAGAATCCAAACATTGCCCCCAGGTCCTCCAACAAAAATCTGGTGAGCACATTTCCTGTGGCCTGGCTAGTCTGAAGCTCTTTGATGGTGAAGGAGAAAAGAGGGCAACTGTTCAAGGAAAGAAGAAGCAGAGTGCAGTGAAAAGGGCACCAAACTGAATACCAGGGCTCCCGATTACCAACTGGGTGACTTGGCACCGAGTGCTCAACCTCTCTGAACCTGAAGGCCTCATGTAAAGATAAGGTTCCTGGTACCTTCCCCCCCCCACACTGAAACCTACATCGTGGCTCGTATGCCAAGGAGCCACTCAATAAATTCATTCCTCCATCTCATTTACATCTCCGACTAAACTTTAAAGATGCACTAGCCAGGCCCTTCTCTTTGAGCAGTAACCAAAGACCTTCAGAAATGGTGTCCAATTGAGGAAGGCCAAGAGACAGTGTGCCCAGTCAGGAGTAAGAATTTTGCCTCCTGGATTTCTTGGGGAAAAAAATCAGAGTAGAGCATTTTATTAACACCCCCCCAAAAACAAACAGACAAACAAACAAACAAAAAAAAAACAACTGTTACTTAACCCTGAGGTGGAACTTGTTAACTAGGAACATGTTCTAAAAAGAAAGCATTGCCATCTGCTGGCTCTTACCACCAGGGAGCAGGGGTATACTCTCCTGTGGCATGAGGAGCCCAGATCTCCCAGACTGCAAAGCATCTACCAACTCATTAACAAATGCCTGAAAATGCCATCAGCCATCAGCCCACTCAGTCCTTTACATCATAATTGTGACTGAATTTATCAGGTCCTTTTCTGAGTAAAAGTTTGATCATGGTGGAGCAAAGTGGAGGGTAATTAATGCTGGAGGGTAGTTGTTTCCTGAGCTAATTTATTTGTGTGGATATATGTGGATATATATGTGGATATAGCAGTATATATAACATGTATATGTGTGTGGTTATATCTATGTTATGGTATGTACATGGGTGGGGAGGTATCCCTAAACTCTGTCAAAATATATTTCAGGGGCCTGTTTAACAGTCATATTCATGTTATTTGACATTTCATCAATGGCAAACCCAAATCAACCAGCATAACCATCTATCCAGAGCAGAAAAGTGGTGCTTATTTGAAGAACCCTGAGCCATTATAATACCCATTGTCCAAAACAGATAAAAAGTCTGGTCTTTTGATAATGTTCTCTGTGAGGTGGGTGTCTGATGCCTTTCATTTTACCAAGAAACATGAGCCACCAGTGTCCTCTTCTATGTGGCAGATCAAGTAGGTGCCGAACTTGCTGACGAGCTGATTAATAGAACCCAGAAACACAGGTGTCCCGAGACCCTCCAGTGATCTGTGTGCAGTTGCTTAGGAAACCTGAGAGAAATGCCAAGTGTTGTTTGCCCCTCTAATTACTTATACAGATGCATAAATGTGTTGTTGATGCCAAGTCATACCAAATGGCTGTCCTCCTGCATGCAGGAGGAAAGGTAAGTCATTCATACTTGGAGGAGCTTAGGGAAAATATAAAAAACAGATTTTTAAAAAGTTTTCCTATTACTGGAATAACCTTTCCTTTGTGATAGCACCTTTTCAGCCCTAGATGCCCAGTACGTGTGTGGAACTGCTGGTGTCAACTCTTGTGGCTGAAGTCTGAGTGTCGGGGCACCTCTTCTGGGAGTGAAGGCCACAGGATGGGTTTCACTGAACCTGCTCCTTCTGACACCACCTGAATCTCTACCAGGGCTAACACTGGAGTGAGAGCATTAATTGTCACTTGAAAAGACTTTTCTTCTACATAAATATTCAAGGAAATCCTTTATAGTATGGCTGAACTTTAATAAGCTGGGAAGGTTCTGCAAATGGAGGGTTAATTCATCCTGAATCACCAGGAGATATAGGAACCCTGGCCTTAAATTCTCTTCAGATGGCACAGGATAATGAGATTAGCACCATCTGTGGGAAGAACCAAAAAAGAGGTGCTTATACCTTTAAAAATGAGATTCTCTTTTAAATGATAAGTACTTTGCTTAGAGGGGTCAGAGCAAGTTTCTTGAAGCTTAAAGATTAATTAATTTGAGAAAGAAAAGATTTCAAGTGTCACAAAACCTTAGTTAAAATTACCAGTTCCTCTTATTCTTGCCTTCTCCCTCCCCCTGCCATTCTCTAGACCAAGAGTTACAGGGGCATGAAATAGTGTGAGCTAAACACCGCTGTTACTGTAGGAAACATACTGGCTTGCCTACAGAGATACACAACACAGAGACACACAGGCAAAGTAAGAACACAGCTTTCTGTGCCCATTGTTTGCTCTCCAGATCTCAGATTGCAGATTCCCCTTTGCAGTGGTCATTCGTTATATTTCCATGGACTTAAGATCTTCTACATGTGTGGTAAACTAGTCATATGGTGGAGGGGGGTAGCAGCAGCAGAAACCATAGCACAATTATTTTCTTTCTCGTTTCTCGTGGCCACATTGAAACAAGAAGAATAAAAGAAAGAAAAGGGGGAAAACCTTCGGGTTAGGAGATAAACTCTGCAGCTTCCGATATCCATATGTTTAGTGGGCAGGGGAACCTGTGGTTCTGATGTTGGCCAGAGGGCTTTACTTCTAGAAGCTTCCCCTGTAAGCACACCAGCTCAGCCCTTAATGCACCACGTCAGAACAGCTTTTGGCACTGGATTCCAGTAGCTTTCCTATGAGGAGATTCAATCAACAGGATCCCAGATTTCTTTCAATTGCCACAATTTGGGGATTTTTTTTGCTCCTGAAAAGGTATGTTATTTTTTGGAGAGACCTCTTCAGTGGGGTTTAACTTTACATGTGAGATACATCCCCAAAAGATCCTTGTCCCTGCTAGCCCTACCAACCCTGTGATACCCTATTCAAAACAGCAGCCCCCGATGATGGTGCTGAGATCAAATCCAGGACCCCCTCCTCAAAGTTCTCAAACACCTCTCTTGGAGAACATTAGCAGTCTAAATGGGTGTTAGGTTCATGGTATATGTCATAATGTCATGTTTTAATTAGAAACAAAGCAAGGAGCAGTTCCCCAAGCTGGTGTGTTGGGGAGGGGCCTGTGGCTGTCTCTCAAGGCTTAACATCTTAGAGATATTTGCAAAATATTTCTCTTGAAAGAAGCGGTTAGAAGCAGTATTGTTAGGCATATTGGTTTCTCCTTAAGTAGAAAAGAAATCTGCTACCAAACCTCAGTTTAAGTAAATCTCCTGGAGAGGCCATTCTGCATTTCAAACAGCTGATCCTCTTTAGTTGGGTGGCTGGTGGCATTTGCAATTTGGGAAATGGTAATGTAGGTTTTTCCAGCCCTCTTCTTGCTATTTGGATTTCTTGAAAAAAGAGAAGAAAATGCTACTCTGTAGGATCATTCTGAAGGGTGAGCCACCTGAGTTTGAGAAAGACTTCTGGACATGGACAACATTGGTTTCGTGTTCACCATTTGCCATCCATGACAGTTTATTTCAATCATACATTTACTTACATTGTTAGTGAGGGAAAGACCCCTCCCATCCAACACACACACATTCTTCCTCCTTCTCTTCCTCCTTTTCCTCCTCCTCCTCCTCTTCCTTCCCTTCCCCTTCTCCCCACCCACCAAGTGATACTACTCTTCAATAAACAACCTAAATCTCAACAGTGAACCTGGAAACCTACCTATGACGGGTGGGAAAGGGAAGTCATTGATCCCAACACAGAAAAAAAGTGGAACAACACAGGAAAAGCAAGCATTACACAAAAAGGCAATCTGAGAAGATAGCTTTTGTCCTGGATTAACAAATTGATCCCACTTCAGTTAAGGCACTCGATCAAACACAGGGTCAAATGATGATACCCCCCACCACCCTACCCCACACATATCACTTCTGCATCACATCTGCCCCCAAAGTCTGCTACAAGACATTACCCAGTGGCATTGATCATGAGGCAGGATTTTTCTGACTGTTCCCCATAGTAACTAGGAGTGTGCTATCGCTGCTGAGAACCTCAGCTTGCTGCAATCTTAGCAATGTGCTCCAGAAAGCACAGCTTTCATCACCAAACATTTGAATTCCGTCTGATTCCCCTCAGTCAGACCACAGAGAGCAGGAACTGAGGGCTGCTCTTTCAGGGAAGAGTAGGGAAAAGGGTACAAATGCTACTAAGTCTGGTGACTAAAAGGCATAAGAGAATTTTGAACCAGTGGCATTTGGGGGTGAGATTTTGAATTGATTTGAAAGATGGCTATATTAAGTCCAAAACAATGTTTCTTGTTAATAGGACAAGCTGTCTGGCACTGCCTTTTAAAAGCCATTTGCAATGATCCCTGTTTTCAAGGCTGAGTGGATGCTTGGTCCACATTTCACTTGCTTTAAAGTGGTTAGATTGCATTGCACCCCCTAAAAATAATATAAAGGGTCTGGCTTTTTTTCAGTCTTTAGTCATGTGCAGAAAAACCAACCTGATAAGTTCTATTTGTCTTTTTTAATATTTCAAATGGAGTCTGACTACTTTGCTCCTGAATTTAGGGTTCTTCTTTCTTCTGGCTACTAGCCACACTGTCCCTCCTGCCTCCACCCCTCCACCCTCACTCCCCCCACACACTCAGCGGGAAGGGAATTTTTAACTGTTGCTTGTCTTTTAACACAGGTAACAACTCATTTAGATTACTCCAGTCTGTAAAAACTGTAAATGCTATTTTATTTTAAACATTTTAGTTTACAAAAAAAAATCAATGATTGGTACCTTTTTACACTCTCAGATTCCTGAATATGGACAGATCTTCAAAGGGAGGAAGGAGTTCTCATATGAAATTTAAGATAGACTGTCCTGAAGGTTGTGGGGTGGATTTTTGTTGTTTTATTTCATTTTTGTTTTTAAGACACAATAAAGCCAAAATGTCAAGTCTCTGGGAGCGATCCCCTTACAGTTTCAGTCAAGTAGAGTTATCAGAGCAAAGACAGCAGACCCCAGCCTGGCGCTCCCGGGCCTGCCCCGGCTGCCCAGGCGTATTTGGTAGCGCACGGGTGAGAGCCACGGGGACGGTCACACCTCGCATTCCCTCGCGGGCTGCTGGTGGCAGGTACACGAGCCATACTCATTGATGATCACCAGGGCTCCCTCAATATGGTTGGGTTTGTAATCAACGTAGTATTCCTGGGCAGACATGGCAGCCATCTGATGCATGGTCTGTTTCTGCTTTTGCTTCCTGCGCTGCGTGACAAAGCACTGTCTGAGCTGCCTGAGGCTAGCAGGGAAACACTTCCAGGAGACATAGAGCACCAGGACCACGATGAGAAAGGAGAAAATGAGGGCCATGGTGCCTGTGACTACCTTGTGGATCTGCACAGCGTTCTCGGCGTGTTCGCCGCCAGGGAGTGCCACAGTAGCCGGCTCTGGAGTGCCCTCGAGCTGCCCCTCCCTGCCGTCAGTGAGTGTGGTGGCAGGACTGGCAGGAGGGCCCAGGTCACTGCGGTTGGTGACCGCGGAGAGCAGGTGGTCGCTGGTGGGCTCAGCTCCATCCTCGCACAGGTGGAAGGCGTACACGGCGTCCAGGACATCCTCGCCCTGTGCGTATTCCGGGCTGGCGCACTGCAAGTTGCCGTCGTAGCGCCCCTGGAAGTTGCTGAGCCATGAGGCCAGGGCGCACACGTTGCGCCCGCAGTCCCATAGGTTCCCCGCCAGGGTGATGCTAGTTAGCGACTTCCAGGAGTTGAGGATCTGGGGCTCGATGTAGGTGAGGCGGTTGGAGTCCAGCTGCAGAGACTGCAGGTGCGGCACGGTCTCGAACACATGGGGCTCCATGTATTCGATCTCGTTGCCCGACAGGTCCATTTTCTCCAGGTTCCAAACCCAGTCCAGCGAGCTAACTACAATGGCCACTTTATTCCTCCTCAGGCAGAGCGAGTTCAGGGAGATGAGGCGCGGGAAGTGGGCGAAGTTCACCTTGATCAAGTCGTTGTGCTCCAGGTGCAGCTCAGTGAGCTTGAACAAGCCGGCGAAAGAGTTGCGCGCCAGACTCTTGAGCTGATTGTATCCGATGTCAAGAAACTTGAGGCTGCGGCAGTCCTGGAAGATGCGCACGGGTACGAACTGGATGGCGTTGGCTCGCATGTGCAGTGTGGTGAGCTTCCGCAGCCCGTGGAAGAGGTCCGGCGCCAGCGCCTGCAGCTTGTTGTACGAGAGGTCCACGCTGCGCAGGTTGGGCATGGGCCGGAAGGTGGTGTTGGCCAGTTGGGTAATCTGGTTGGAACTCAGTGTGAGTTCCTTAACTCGGCGCAGTTTCTGAAAGGCGTCCCCCTGCACCGAGCAGATGTGATTGTGATCCAGATAGAGCCACGTGAGCTGCATTAACCCCGTGAACTGGCCGGCGCGCAGCTCCGAGAGGCTGTTGTAGCGCAGGGACAAGCCCAGCAGGCCAGACAGGTTGTGGGGCGTCTCGGTGAGGTTGAGCGCCTCGCAGTACAGCAGCCGCCCCTCGCACCGGCACAGCTGCGGGCACCCGCTGGGGGCGGCGGGCAGCATCTGAAAGCAGGCCCCCAGCAGACACAAGACCACCCCCGAGGGCCTCCTCAGCATCCAGTATAGACAGAGACCGAGCAGCAGGAAATCCATTAGCGAGAATCTTTCCAGAGAGGCTGGAGAATGTCCATTGGAAGCGCTCGGTCAGAAATCTACATCATATTTTATTCCGAGGGAGAGGAAGCGGGGGAGGGGGAGAAAAGGGCAAAAATCAAATAAATACATTAAAATAAAGAAGGATCCCCCCGCCCCAGAGCCACACGTTCACCTCTAAGCATGCAGAAAGCTGGGCAGCATAGAAAGTTCACGGCCACGGAAAGATCAAAGAGATGGTGATTTGGTCCATGTTAGATGCTGCAGCAAAGAAAAGGGAGGGAAAAAAAATCTTCGGGAAAGAATTTAATTAAAAAGTGTCTTACCCACCCTTTTCCAGAGAGTGACAACCTCCATTCAGCTGCTCCCTTTGTGTGCAGGCTAATTATATGCAGGGCGAGAGAAGACCCCTCTGTGTTTCCGAGGCAGCCCCGGTCCGCGGCCAGCGGATCTGGCAGGCGCACAATGTCTCACTTTGCTGCTCGACTCGGGGCTGCAAGGGCGGCTGGCGAGGCGGGGAGGCGACTTCTAGGACCCGCAAGTTTCCCAACTACGTGCCGGAGCCCGGTCTTCGCCTTCCTGCCGCTGTCCTTTCCCTCTGCAGTTCGAACTGTGACGTGGTGGGGGCAAAAAACTCCAAAGTCGGGGCTTGCGACTCCCCAGGATTTGCCAGTCTCGTTAATGTCCGTCATTGGAAAGGACCACTGACCGGCGCTACCTTTTAGTCCTCGGAGACAGCTTGCCATTCGCGCCCGGGGCGGCTACGGAGAGCGGGTTCGCTCATGCTTTGCGGACCGAGGGCATCCGGGAGGCGCGGGCGGAGGCGGCGCGGGCGGCGGCGCGGGGCGCGGGGAGCGGCGCCCAGGCTCCTTCCCTCCGCCAGGCGGTGTGCGGCGCGAGCTTGCACCGGCACCTACTGCTCACTGAGTGTCGTAAGCTGCTCACGATTGTGCGTCTTCCCGGAGCACCTCAGACGTGGGCAGATTGAAAAGGGGTGGCATAAAACCAACATTTTACCGAACCATTAAAGTAGTATATGTTCTTTGATGGAATGGAAAACACTTTCAGCCTTTTGCCTATATTTCAAAGAAAAACGAAAAGGGGCGGGGTGAGTGTGGGTGGGATGAAGGTATGGGGCAGCATCTTCAACAGCGAGATATTTCCTAGTGGGAAATTGAACTATTCTGTTCTCTTCCCCCTTCCCTTTTTGGGATAGTCTCCCTCCCACTTTAAAGCTGTCTGCGTGTAAGGGATATGCAAGGATATGTAGAGAAATCAACATTTGGTTCTTTGCTTTAGAACAGCAACTTGAGAGAAGGTAGAGGAGCGCAAATTGCGGGGTGAGGGGGGTGCGGGGGGCGGGGAAGACTTGGCTAAGATTTTTCCCCCCTTAGGCTCTGGAGTTCCGCAGTCCATCAGCTTTTTTAGGTGGTGAACAGCGGACTGCTTTCCATGGGTTTGGCAAAGCCATTCAGGTCCTGGTGCTATGTGGCCCAGAGTGGCAGAAACGTAGGTCTGTTTACAGGGAGTTCTGCCTGAGATCCCGCTGGGGCTTCCACAGTCTCCATACCTATCTGTGGTGTCTGTGGTGGAGTAGAAAGGGTTCTGCTGTCTGTATGGCACCGCACTGGAAGGGCTGTGCCTGGCAGGCTGCTCATGGTGATTACAGCGCCCTGCAGTACACCCCATTCCAGGGGAACGTGCTAGAGAACAAGCCGAGAAGTGGTAGTTTAAACCACAACGATGCCTACCATCCTCCATACATACATCCCTAATTAAACTTTGAGACTGTTACTAAATTGTCTCCTAAGTATGAAGAGAAGTATTTGCTGGATTATTTTCATTTATAGTCATTAATAGATGGAGTTGTGATAACTAGCTCTCTCTCTCTAGGGTTTGCATTGCTATTTTGAAGGACCTGTTGGCCATGTTGTTGTTGTTGTTGTTGTTATTATTTCTTTTTTAATCTTTAGAAGATGGCAGGGAAACTGCTGGAACTGAGTGTGGGCAAACCTACCTTCTGGACACTGATGCCTAAGGAGGTGGCAGAGAGACTCAAATGTGAATCTGCAGCTCCTCTCTTTGAATCCTCATCACATGTGTCTCTCAGGAACAGAAAATGAGTGGGCATTTTATGTAGTGGTGCTCACTTTAATAAGAATGAGCTGGATTACCGAAGCTTCCAGGTTGCATCAACTTTGGGCAAGTAACTGGGTTGCTCATTAGCATCCAAACAGAAGATACTGACCAGTGGAATCATAGTCACCAAAGACTGGTGGTACTTTTCAGGAAAATCCTCTGAACAGGGGCATGAATCACTCCATTCTGTATTTAGAGCTCCACCCTGATCATTCATCCCTGAGATGCATCATTTCATTGGAAGGAAAACAAACCTGAAATGTCCTAGAAGTCACATACTGGCTTAAGGGCTAGAAAACACATTAGAAAATCAAACCCTTAATTTTGCATATGATGAAACTGAGGCACAGAGACATCAGATACAGCAGATGATTACCCAAGGTCTCACAGCTTGTTACTGGTACAGATGGGTTTTTGGCTGTCCCACACCAAAGTGGACTTCTTTCTTTGCCATTCTTGATGGTTGTCATTCCATCACTCTTGCTTCCTACCTAACTCTGGACTGGTTACCTGCAGGTTTTGTCCTGGCACCTCCATGTGGCTGCAGAACACTTTAACAGAAAAACAATTCCACCGGCAAGTGTTTTCACCTCTTGCCAAGACATTTATTCCTGACAGCAGGCCGGCTGATTGAGCCATAAACTCTAAAGGGTTGGAGAGGAGGGCAGGCAGGGGTAAACACTGGCCAGCCATTCAGCAAGCACTCTGAGTACAAGCCACCCAATGCCCATGGCTGCTAGGAAGAATATCATCCCAATGCAAGCAGCTTGGCAAAGTGGTGATGGAGCCTGCCAAATGGGCAAGAAGAGGCCCCACTTGGATGTCACTTGATTTGTAGAGCTGGTACAGAAAGGCAAAAAAGAGTTGAGTGCTGGCAAGAAGGAAAGAGAATAAAATTAAATTAAATGCATTATTTTGTGAGTTTTTCCTCTAAGTATGCTACTCAAAACATAGAGAATGTGTTGAGGCTGTAATTAAGAGATATATGTCTTTTCAAATTATTTTGCTGCAGATTATTTCTGCATGATATCTTTAAACCTTTCCCACCTCTAATGTGGCAAGTTTGCATCTTTTCTACCATTTTAAACCCCTTGGCAGAACTGTATACATTAACAGATTGAAATGAGCTTTATTGAAATTTAGTTATTCTAAGTCATCTAAGTTGCAGAATCCCAATTTATTATGTATTTAAAGCATACCAGCACTGATTAAATCAATGCAAATTAGGTTAAATAAGAACAACATGAATCAAGTGTTTCAGCGAAGCTGAGTAGAGAAATGACAACTTTTGAGTCCCCACAGCAAGCTGATATGGCTGTTTTTCATGTGTTTTAGTGTCATGCTTCTTAGGGTCCAGCACACAAATTTTTTTTAAAGAAAAGAAAAGAACTCACCTACAGTTCTGTTTTTCTTTTTTTTTAATATTTTATTTATTTATTTTTAGAGAGGGAAAGGAGGGAGAAAGAGAGAGAGAGAGAAACATCAATGTGCAGTTGCTGGGGGTCATGGCCTGCAACCCAGGCATGTGCCCTGACTGGGAACCGAACCTGCGACACTTTGGTTCGCAGCCCGTGCTCAATCCACTGAGCTATGCCAGCCAGGGCTTCTGTTTTTTCTTATATTTGATCTTTCATCTTTCTTTACCTGTCTTGTAAGAACATCTGATTCAGGTTATAATGTGGCTGAACATTGTATAATGTATGATGTGTGTGTACTTGATCAAGCTCTTCTTTTGGACTAACCACAGGTTTCTATCCACAAATGTCTCCACAAATGCCTTTAGTGTTAGATGCTGATGAAAGATACTTTATAAGCTTTGAGGCCACTATTTCCATTTTTCTTATTTGTGTAGGGAAGGAGCTTGAGTTTGTCTAGCTGAGCTACCATAGTAGCTGGGCATCAGGGAAACCACCCCAAGCTAGCAGGCCAACACGTGATTGGTGACTGGGCTAAGAAAGGATAAGAGTCCTGAAAATGTGGATTTGGGAAATAGGAAGGGACTCTGGGGTATGTGAAGAGTGCATCTGATTGCCAAAACATGATCTGGAACATGAGGAGGTAAAAGAGTATGCTTGGTGCATCTGGAGAGGCCAGGCTTAGAGCTTGGAGGGGACAGGGTGATTAACTCCTCCTCTTCTAAAATTTACAAATTCACTTTTGTATGAATAAACCCTCCTGCTCTTTCTTGGTACTTCATGGTGGGGTAGGGGAGGAAGGGGATGGGTACATACAAAATTTTTAAATATGTCTTGCCACTCACATATTATTTCAACTGATAGCCACCTCCAAGTGGTTCATTTTAGTCAAAATAGTTTGTGAACCTGCAAGGGGTGCAGGTGAAAAAACTCTGAAAGGAGCATGCATTCTGAGGGCGGGCTTTCCATTGCTTGTCTTGGGAAGTGTTCAAGGCAAAAGAAATTCAAGCCATAATTTTAATGTTCTGTCACTGCTTGTACCAGCATGGACCTTGATCTTTATGCTTTTATCTTTAATTTTTAGTAGCAGTGAACCATGGCTTTTCTTTAGAAGGGAACACTTAGAGGAAGAGGAGGAGGGTGGGAGTCACAATTTCAAAAGGAGAGAATTGACTCTGTTGTTTTCATGGGCACACAGTATACAGCCCAGCCAGCATTTATACAGTGCCTCTGAAAATGCGAGGGGTGGGGTTTGAGGAGGGAAGGGTGAGGGACCTATGGCTTCTCACAGGAGGTCTTCTGAGAAGAATCAAGTTAAAAAGGGAAGCTAAAATTTTCTTAATAAACTTTATCCTTCTCTTAAAACAAGGCAGTAATGTGGATAGCACTGAGGAAGCACCTATCATGTGCAATGCATAATGTGAACAATGGGAGTAAATGGAAGAAATGAAAAGACTCATTGCTTTCATCCAGGAACTGTAGGTAGGAAAGTGAGTTAGACATGGAGGGACTTTGCTGATAATCTTATTTATATATTGCTCAGTGCTTGAGGGTAAATGTTTCCAGAACATACAAATGAGAGGAGCTGTCAAACAGGTCAAATGGGACCAGGGCTAAAAGGCTTAGTTGAAGGAAATAGACAGGAAAAGACTTCATTGAAGAAGAGAGTTTGGGAAGTAGTTTTAAGGACTCGAGATGTAGGTACAATGACAGGAGGGATGGATATTATGTAGGTGTAAGTACAAGTATGGGCACTGGAATGCTTCTATTATGATGAAGAGATTAATACCCTTGCACTGGGTGGGAGGGGGAGAAGGTAGACAGGGACAAATGGAATCTCTGTGTTGGGGAGAGGAAGTTGGTAAAGGCCTTCCAATGGTATACTAAAATTTTTTAGTTTGAGATATTCCTCTAGTTTTTAAGGATCATCACCTTAGAGTTATCTTTAACTCTTGTAATAAATACCTGGGTTAGTTCATCAGGCCTCTCTTGCTCTCCTGGGCACCTCTGTGCAAATTCCCTCTACACTGCCTTATGCTCTGATCGAGTCATATTCTACTGAGCTGCTGGCTATGCCCTCTCCATCATGGCTTACCTTCATTGCAGCTGTGCTTCAAGGTTGGTGTTGACTTCCTCCTGTGACTTCTTAACCGTTCCTTATATAAAGTGATCTCTCATTTTTTCTCAGCTCCATTAGCAGCTTTCCCTTACTGATCATGTTTCTGCTCCTGTTCACTTTACATGAGTATGACAGTAATTTCTACTTCCAGTGTTTTAGAACTCGATGCACATTAACA